TCCTGTTCACAATACCGATAAACACCAACAGGTTCTTCGTAGCACAAATTAAATAACAAGTAGGTCACTCAGTCATTTGTCTAAACTACTTACACATTATCACAATGTACATCCGACAGAATATGAATATAAATTATTAAACATTATGAAGAGAATAAGTCATGGAGCTTAAAAATAAAAGCTCTACGGTTCGATCAGCTGGCTGCCAACCGCGCAGTGGCGTCAATGAAACCATGGACGTACATGATGAAACTAAAAAGTATTAGAAACTCACTGTAAATACGTAATCCATACTAGTCTTCGCAGCCTGCTTCAGTTTTGCACTTCCCTCAGTGCTGTTCTCCTCGGAGTGTGAAACAATCATGTAAAGATGATGCAGACAAATAAAATACAGACAAAGCAGCTGACTTATTTCAGTGCGATGATGAAACCTTGAAACTCTCCTGCGCGGTAATTCCACTGAACCACGTTAGTTAACTGTATTGGTCATTTACGTGCCCGCATACCTAAATTGTCTGTTCCCACAAAAACGAAGAGACATGGCGAGTATTGAATATCCTTCCAACTCACAGTTATCTGAATAATCAGTAGAATAAACTTAGGATATCAGGTACATCGCCAGCAAAATGGAGGTTGTTGACAACTGATCAAGGGAACCCCAGTCACATGATCATCGCCTCATTATAAATGCGGAATTACTCCGCCGAGTGAGTTCTATACTGAGACAGAAACAAAAGGTTATTATAAACTACTAGCTTAGAAATCAAACAGAATATAGTAGAATTCGTGATATATTAAAGCAATCTCCTAAATTTCTACAAGAAAACCATCTTTTTACTTTTACGAGGACTATTTCAGCGGAGGGAGTTTATACGTAGGTACGGTGGTTTTTACAAATAAGGGGATATACCCCGTCACGTGACTACATGTTGGCGACACAATAAAAGGGGCGGACCAATGCATGCTACAGACAATGCTGCCAGCGAATTTGTTTTTCTAAGGGTCAATGCGCCAAGTAGAATTTATTGCGTCATTTTGTATATCCGTCTCCTGTTATTTATATTTTATTTAATTTCAGCTTTATTGTCGGCACCACGTGATATCATCTATTGGAATGAATGACCAGTTTCAACCTTGAATTGTTATGGGCGGGAAAGTTTTTAACGTCTGAACAACTTCGGGCAAATTCTGATGCACTATTGTCACATTAACCATGTTCGCCAGACTAGGACTTATTCTCTACATCACTCTGAAACCGGATGTAGCGTGTTCAACTGTGTCTTACTACTACCACTATGTCATTTTGATTTTTGCGGGTTACGATTTACACGGCCGTGACCCGGTATACCGCGGTTCCACAAGGTTGCTCCACCGAGCCGATGACGTCTAAAAGTACGTTTTTACTGACCTTTGACAGAGAAACAGCTTGCCTGTGAAATCGATATGTATCGAGCGCTGTCGCCCGTTATTGTTAAAAATACATTAAATCAATGACCAAGAAAAAGAAAAAAACACATTAAACTAAAGCATTTTGTGTTAACATGTCCTCAGTACGGCACCCAAAGAGATAAATTATTCATTGAGGCTGAAAAAAATAATTAAGAGTTTAAAAACAATTATGAATACATGTCCATCCCCCTTTCGCAATTTCTAAAACATGCATTTGAAATGAGAGAACAATATCTCCTGGATAATTAAATATTCATTCTTTTTTTCTCATTGACAACTGTACAATGTACTCATTTCTATTGCTATGTACTTATTTAAGATTTTATTATTACCATTAGTTTTTCTTTTTACCTATACTTTTGTGTACTTGCCTTTACAGCAATTCCAGGCACTGATTTGACGCTGAAGTAGTGCTAGATGTTGATAACTTACTACAATAGGTTACACACTTTGTTTTCAAATTTATATATGTTGTAACTAGAAATATAAACATCGGCTGCAAATCAGAGGATTGATTGACAGATATTGCCCACAATGTTTTCTATTTTTGCTACAAAGTCAGGTACACCTAGAAATTGAGGCGCGTCTGTCTTTCATTCACTTTTGGTCGACCATCGTGTCGATAGCGTGTCTACAAATCGGCATTTGTCCAAGTTGTTTAAGCACCACGATGGAGAAGCAAGGAGTCAAAAACCAGTTGAAATGAGAACAAGAGTTGTCGATTTGTATTTTCGTGGGCTGTCATTTGCTGAGATTGGAGATCGAAATGGTGTTTCAAGCGATTATTTGGTGGCACATCAATCTTTTGGTTCTCATCGTTGAGAACTAATAATCGAATAACACCCATTCTATGTATTCAATTTCATTATTGATATAGTGGATGAAGTCTTCATTGTTCTTCTCACAATTTGCGTATTGAAAAGGGAAGACATGAAAATGTCCCCCTCGATAATAGATTGTGTGAATACTATGTTGAACGAAATCAACTTTATGTTGAAGACGAACATCATTTTATAGCTATTTGCCATCGTTATCAACGTATTAGAGCAGAATCTTTTGCCTGTATGGTTCCGCACCAACCCCACTTACAACAAATTTATCTCGCTCATGAGTTCAAGAAATGATGTAATTTTAAACCAGTTAGCGAGTTATGTTTATTTCGCCATGAAAAGCAGAACTTAAATGATTTTTGTTTTCTCTATTGTTACAATTGTTAAGTGAAACTGTATTTGCTTTTGGGGCAAATGGCCTTTTGCTTTGTAATAAATATATATATATATATACAAGTCTTCATAGGACATTTGTTGCAGGCGTGATACGTATATTTCCATAGTAGGAATAATGCACTTTGATCAATAATTCTGTCATGATCAGTCGGTCAGCTGGTTCTGTAAAATAACGTTCTTTACAGTGCCACCACTTTATGCGCCCCTCTTACTGAAATAACACGTGACGCAAATTGAAGTACGAGAGCCTCAATCGTTTATTAGAGGAGAAATTCGAAACTAATGTACAGCCACTTTTGTGGGCGGAGCTTTCTTCCGGTGCGCTTCAAATTGCAGACATGCTGTATGCATTATTTGTAACAACTTCTGTAAATTTGAAAACAAAGTGTGTAACCTATTGTAGTAAGTTATCAACATCTAGCACTACTTCAGCGTCAACTCAGTGCCTGTAATATTTGTAGCTTGTTTATTTTTGTATCAGTGATTTTAATAAGTGTATTATATTTTTTTCTTTAGTTTTGTAAGTTTAGTTTTATAATTGTAGTTGTTTAGTGACCTTACTTTCTGGGGTCAGTGTTGTGTCAATAAACGTATCAAAACTAAACTAACGCTTTACAAATAAAATAAATACATTTTCCCAAGCAGTTGACAATGAAGACATCGTTAGTGCCTAGCAAGAAGTTACATTTCTCCAGAGTTGATAACTTGCAAATGTTATCATGATAAATTGTTAATTCAGCTTCAAGCTTGAACAATCTGATTATTTTTACCTGTGAGTAAAACATGAAATTCACCACCAATAGCCTGTTCAGTACATAGTAAACAAATTCTTTGCCTTTGAGGTGTTTTATTATATATAAGTTTTTTTTTTTCAATTGGCAATGAGTTAGTAGAGATGCGAAACTTAGTGAAGCTGACTCTGTGTTGCACATTTTTGATTTGTTCTAAATATGGTTCAAATTCAGTTCAAAATTTAGTTTAAACTTGTTATTAGTACGTAGCTTATTCTTTTTTGGTGTAAATACCGTTGGCAACCAGACTATATTATAGTAAATTTGTTTGAATTTGGTTTTGAATTCTATAGTGTTAGATTCATTACTGATTTTAGTTAATGTGAATACTCTTTTAACAAATGCTGTCCATGAATTACCGTTCATTTTATTGTCAGTATTAGAAGGCATAGTCTAGAAGATGATTATTTTTAATTGATTTTAGTCTTTCATAATAATTTAACATCTGTGAACTAATGTTCCGCCACGACAAAACAGGCGAATTTGGCACCCCAGTTTTGTTACTTCCAGGAAAGCATATCAGCTTCAATTCATGTGGTTGTGCCTTTTCCCTCAATTCGACATTTTGTCCAACCATTAAATTAACCCAACTTTTAGATCGACTGAGCCAACTTTTACGTCATATATTCCATGACTCCACCCAACTTTTAGATCGACTGAGCAAACTTTTACTCATTCGTGTCATATATCCCATGACTCCACCCAACTTTTAAATCGACTGAGCCAACTTTTACTCATTTTAGGTCATATATTCCATGACTCCATCCAACTTTTAAATCGACTGAGCCAACTTTTACTCAATTACGTCATATATTCCATGACTCCACCCAACTTTTAGATCGACTGAGCAAACTTTTACTCATTCGTGTCATATATCCCATGACTCCACCCAACTTTTAAATCGACTGAGCCAACTTTTACTCATTTTAGGTCATATATTCCATGACTCCATCCAACTTTTAAATCGACTGAGCCAACTTTTACTCAATTACGTCATATATTCCATGACTCCGTCCAACTTTTAGATCGACTGAGCCAACTTTTACTCATTTACGTCATATATTCCATGACTCCATCCAACTTTTAGATCGACTGAGCCAACTTTTACTCATTTACGTCATATATTCCATGACTCCATCCAACTTTTAGATCGACTGAGCCAACTTTTACTCATTTACGTCATATATTCCATGACTCCATCCAACTTTTAGATCGACTGAGCCAACTCATTCACAGCTTCTGTTCCTTAATTACTACCCTATGTGTCCTTCAAACAGCCTTTCATTATTCCCCATCTGTTCAATTTTCTATTTATTTTAGTCAACTTATATGCTTTCACAGGAAACATTTTTGAGCTGTATAATGTCGCTTCCTCTTTACTCTCGTTTTACCACATACAGCGGAAATCGATTCAGTTCCATAATAGGTGATTTTCCGTACAATTGCGAGATCTCGCGAGATGCATGAAAGACGCGCGTCGAACGTCTGCCGCAAAAATCGAACGATTTGATTTTGAACTCGAATTTCTTTATTTCGTAGCTCACATCGACCGGCCGATCTTCGACAGAGGAATATTGCTTCCGAATACCCTTACTTAATCGAAATTGCCTATCATCAAATGTGGACAGCACATTATTAAGCATGGAAATGTCCCCCAAATACTTTCGCGTTTGTCGAATCCCACGCGATGTTTGACGCCACTACGACGCTATGACCTTTGTTTGTCCTGTTTTTACGTTCGATTTCACGCATAACGCGTGATTCTCGCAGTGTACGGAAAATGGTCTATTCAACATGAGCAGCGTGCAACATTTTTTTTTGTTCGGTCATTTACTCAATAATAATTGAAAGCGTTTCATTGGTTACAAACAAGCGTCTACCCAAGAGCCTTTGCTATTTTAGCGTGTGTTGTTATCGTCGATTGGGACTCAATTCCCGAGCATGCGCAGGTGACGACCCTCCCTCTTTAAATACACGAAAACATACACGAGTTATTTTAAAATTTTATATACAGAATATATATTCAAGAATAACAAATTATTATGTTGATTAGTCGTTCAAGATGCGATAAAAAAATACACAATATAATATATTTACATATAAAATAGGTGAAAAAACATACATTTCAGTATATATACGTAACGTAAATTTGCAGGTTGACTGTAATATTGATAAAATTGTAATTTGAATATATAACATATTACTATCGCCTTTATACATTCGAATAACAGAATGATATGATCGTACATATTTGCATTGTTGTGATGACAACCCCAGTTCCTCGGTTCTAACAGTAGGTATATAAGTACAGTTCTCCCACAAAAATATGGGGGAGGGGTACTATCAAAATCAAATACAGGTGAGATACAAAAAAAACAAGCTAAAAAGTAGAAATAACATCATTCAAAACATATATAAAAATACGACTGTTCGTTTGACAGTAATACATAATACATACGGTTAGTCAAGAAATATGTGTATGGATAACTGTAGGTAGATTTTGTTTCTGATTATTTGATTTTAACACGATGAAGATAGACTATGTGTTACTGTGATTTTAAAACCCTACGGTATCGCCATGCAGTGTTATTGCGAGATGAAATATAAGGCCCAACCAAAAAAGTTTGTTTCAGGTAAATTTTTTTCTTCAAAATATCTGGACTGAGGCGGTTTTATTTTGTACTATTATTCTGACAATATAACAATAACTACAAATACCGTAGACAACATCTTGCAGTACGTATATGTGAGCATAAATTATGAACACCATAGAGGGCGCATTGTAAATTAAAATGCCAACGAAATGTTTTGTTGTTGGAACATGAGGACCGTAGTAAATAAGTAGTCGCGATGTAGTAAGCGTTCTTCCGGTGGAGTGAGGCTGGTCACATTCGAGTGTAGGTACCAAGGTGGTTGTTACAATTAGTTAGGACAATGTGTGAACGGCATCCTTACAGCTGTCAATGCAGAACGGAATACAGCAAATACACCAACATCTGAGAAAAATAAAATAAAATGCACGCGTATATAAACGATTGTAATGTAATTAAACTTCATTCAACAATGGAGCTCCATGATTCAACAATACCAATACTTGTGATAATTAGTCATTTTTAGTTGGCAGGTAGCTCTGGCGCATTTTCTTTTCTTTTGGCGCATCCAGCATGAGGGTTGTGCATGCTCGTGTATCAACGACTAGTGTATTATCCTGCACAGCACAGAGTCACAGTAGCTTGGCTGCGAATCGACTTGAGCCGAGTCTACAGTCCCGACATATTTACATATAGAATGAATGCAAATACGTATACTGTACGCAAGAGTCGGCAGGTACTTGAAAGAAGGCAAGTAAAATGAAACACAGTAGTTTGTTCTATAACAACTGCCCTCAAACTTGCAACTTGGGAAATTATTTTTTAACAATATATTTTAGTACCGGTACCATAAAACAGATTGTGCCCCGTTTAATAAATATACTTCTATGGACATTCATGTATAGTTAAAGTATTTCGATTTAAATACGATTTCTCAAAATAAATGTTGAGATTAAAAATGCTTAAAGCGGGAGGGTCGTCACCTGCGCACGCGTGGGAATTGAGTCCTAAGCGACAATAACACACGCTAAAAACGCAAAGGCTCATAGGTAGACGCTTGTTTGTAAACAATAACACGCTATGGCCATCTGACGCATGCACAGGTGACGACTCCCCTGCTTTAACAACGTCGTTGTTTTTCCGCACTATACAATAATACATACCCGACGAACCAAAGAATAAAACAGACAAGCCATGCCATTGTCCCGATCTCGTAGTTCACGTGAGTGACGATCCGCTGGTTACAATGTTGACATGTTGTAGATATTGGCACTTCTCTAAAACTTTGAGTTGTGATGATCGCAGTTGCAGCCACCGGCTGCGCTATTACTACCGTGCTTTGCTGGCTACTTGCATATTGCGGAGGGTAAGCTGCCTGCTGCGGGTAGGCTGCCTGTTGCGGGTAGGCTGCCTGCTGTGGGTAGGCTGGGGGAGGCGGCTGTGAATATTCTGAAATGAACAGAACATATAACAGTTAATTAAAAATGCGAATTTTTTTGTTAATTAAATTAATAGTTTTTTTTTTTTTAATCTTGGTATTCCCAATTAAAATCATTCAGATGCAGTCTGAAAAATGATATACTCGACAAATTGGTTCTTATTAATTAAACGTGTGATTACGAATTTGGGAGATTGACCAGAAATACGCAAGGTCAAAGAAATAGTTGTCAGTTAAAGCGCGGTGGTCGTCGCGCAGCGCGTGTTCGAATTTTATGTAAATAAACATTGTATTTTACACGCGTTGTATACGTTGCTATGAGTCCCATATCGAACAGGACGCGGCACGACGACTGACGCCCTTTAACATGTTAAACGGGCTGTTTTTTTAACGTTCTGTATAGAATTTTCCCCAGAAAATATATACTACGAATACGATGTTTACACGGCGAGTGCTTTGATGCGTTAAGTTATCGGTATTTAACAACATAATATACTATAATGGAAAACATATAAATTATTTTTCAACAAGGACGGAGTTAATTAATTGTTTTGTTCCATGTCTCTTGGTAATTGTAGGTCACTGTGACATCGGGCGAATCTTTTCAGTGGGTATAACTTATAAAACTAATTAGCATAACTTACCCCCAGTATGCGCACGTACTCCAACACAAACTGATTAGTGTAAATATTTAATTTATTTTGGCCTATATATATTAATGCGACTTGTTAAATAATATATATATATATATGAGCCGAAATTATTTTTGAGCGGACAGCCGACCTCGGTAATAAAACTTGTAAACCCCGCCCTTCGTGGGACCATATTTCACTTATCTACGCCCGGTATTATGCACTGAACAATTAACGTTTATAACTCCTGTGTCGGTTACTTAGCAACCAAGGAAAACAACGTGATTATTAGTGTTCATTTGGAACACCGCCAATATGTGAACTTTGCAAATGATTCACTCATCTACTAATAAAAGGAGGTTTAAAATAAGCTTCGGGCTGCATAACTGTTAGTTTTAGCAGGAGTCTGTCATTGTATTGTATGCACCGCTTGTATGTCAAGAATATAGGTTATATTGTTGCGTCGACCGTTACCTGCCAGTGGAACTAACTGTGATGTAACATATAATACAATTTTCTATTCAGTAATGATCAATTATGTGTCAGACTGAGAATATATCGTATCGTCCAATCCGCGCAATCATTAAAATAATGGGCTCGGTCAGACCACAATCTCCAGATCACAAGATCACTTGCGTAATTCCAAATTCTATACCCGACCGTATCCACATGCAATTCAATAATACTTAGACGCCATTACAATCGCAGAGACTTGCCAATCTACCCTTATTTACAAAATACTGATATATCCGCCAAGTAATTGCTGTAAAAGTGACGGTCACCACATCCAGTTGTGTGATATTATCTGTATGGGGGGCATGTCTGCGGATTTGGTTACACGGAATGTTCTGCCGTGTACTCGCTGTCTTGAACGTGCATGGTAGAGGGACTGTGTATATATCACGAATGTGTATCGTGAGCCCTGTCCGTCGATATCACCGTCTACGTGTTACGGGAGTGGTTTCACCCGTGGTGGGACTGACGTCATACAGCCAGCATATGTAAGTTGTGCAAAGGAATCTTACCTCCATATGGTGGGGGTGCTTCACCAGAAGCCATCGTAAACACACTTTCTTCTCGTGAAAACTAAGAATTTAACGAAGTGCGACGTTCGCTTTCGAGCTTAATACACCAGGGGGCGCCACGCCTACACCATAGACACTCTCTACCATATGATCAAGGTTGGAGCATGCCATCTTAAATTTAATTTAATTTACAAGCGTATTAATATCGACATGTATTGTGGGTAACTCAATATTATTGGGTATGTTCATGATACAGTTTATGGAACATTCTCCAGGGTGAATTGGCAATCTAGCGGATTTCGTGTGTATGTCACCCGGAAACCTTACCCACTGACGTCAGTTTATAGAAGTGCCTATTCAATGATGACATCTATTTTTAGCCGGGTTATTCAAGTGACTGCGTGTTACGACAACAAGTGTTTCTGTCATCGCATCGTTGGAATCTAGGTGGCGAACAGTTTTCCCTGATCAATCATTAGTTGGCGATAAAAAAAAATATTAGGAAAAAAAGTTACTAGAGTTTAGGGCTGAGGACGGGCATACATATGCACATGACAATGTACTAAATTGGGCCCAATGTCAGGTAACTAAAACGCTATTTTAATTAGTGCATGAGAATGACTGGAAAACGGCCATACTCACGTACGTCGAAATGAACTACATGTATTTTGTACCAATTTCACGTAAATGCAACATCATTATTTTAAATTGTGCGTCAAAATGACTGAAAACAAAACTGTAGTGAGGTACTTTTAGATGCGGTAACAGAGCCCAAATTCAGGGCGAATTTATTAATTTTGATACTACTGCTCAATCCATTGAGTGATGCAGCATGTCGAGCGCTAGAGACATACAGTGCCGTCTCACCTGTTTAAGCTTTGGGCGCGTGCGCAGTGAGTGAGTGAGTGATTGGCAGCAACTTGTCGTGCATACCCATACCATCTAAGAAGAAATAATGGCATTGTTCGATGCTGTTGTATGTATGTGCCCCTGTTAATAAACGTTGTCACAACAACTTGTGAACTAGTGCTAATCACTGAGCGCCATTTCTTATCAGACATTCACATGCTGGTTGGCATACTGGAAACATATGACGTCACAGTGCGACGACCAGTGGAAAGATGGCAGATATATGTACAAATTTCACTGTAAATAGATCACTGATCTACGTAAACATGGCGGAGAGAATGGGGCAAGTCTCGTGGCTCTCTCGTTCATAGCGAGATCTCGACGGCCATTCACGTCTAAGGTTATCACGGCACCATTTACAGGGGCTATCTTCTCAAAAGTTTACCCGTATTTAAATTCAACAATATATGAATAAATACAAGTAACCTGTAGAATACTGTGTGGGTAATATTTTTTATATTGATTTTTGTTGCATTTGCAACAAATAGTTACCAAACAATGAGAAATCTATAGGATTGAATATACCCCACAGCTGGCTTCACATGCATTGTTCATAGTTCATATGGTGCTTACACCAGGATTTAATTACAGCACCTAGGCGGTATGTGGTTACAGCTTAATGTTCGAGTAATCGCAAGAAATTGACATGACAATAGAAATTCATTAAAGACTGCCACTCCCATGCAATTAACAGCGAGTGAAATTCCTGGGATTGAAACATATATTTTGAAGTCACTGATGTAGGCAACGAATAACTGCAAGTTGACATAAAGACGAGGTAGTTTATTTAATCAGTGATCAACTAGAGGCTGAAATTATAATAAATTTGTTTATTTCAATTTCTCCTGACGTCAAATAGAATACACTGGTGAAACACGGTAGTAACTGTGGGTGAAAGAATGTTTTGGGGTGTAGTTTACATTGTATATGGAGTGGTAGGGTCGGGTGTAATGTGTTCATTTCCAACTATTATGAAGTCGCGTAGAATTTCACTTAATTTATTTTTGCTGACATGTTTTCAAGCATTACATGTGAATCTAATTTTCACTGCGCTGTGTCTCAATATAGTATGAGGGAAATTGCATATTCACTGGAATTTATTTCAGGGGAAAAATGTTTTCAGTGATAATGAAGTATTATGACAGATCCCCTCCCCGTGGCTTTCATTCGTTATTTTCACGAGTGATGCGGTGTATCCTGCTGCCGTACTTTCACGAGCGAAGCCACGGGGAGGGTGTGGGGTTCTGTTATTATACACATGTCCCATATTTGATTATTTCATATTAAAAAAAAGAACGTGCAACAAATCGGGATAGAAATTTAGATCGGGGAACCCAATTGCCCATTAATATGCTCCAAGACAGTGCTGCGACCTAGCAACGCTTGTCAGTGTAGAACGCGTGTCGCTGTACGTGTGAAAATAAAATAATCAGACGTCTAATTTAAGTCATTGTCCGAATAAATAACTCGTGGATGTTTAAGCGCGGTGGTCGTAGCACAGCGCGTGTTCGAATTTCATGTAAATAAACAATGTATTTTACACGCGTTGTATATGTCGCTGTGAGTCCCATATCGAACAGGACGCGACACGACGACTGTCGCCCTTTAGTTGGGACCACGACAGAA